AGAATACACAATACTTTCAATGAGCATATGGGCCAGTGAGAGAACAAATGTCATTAGAACATTCTTCTGGCAAACACTAAATTCTGGGACATGTGCAGTGCAGCTCTTCATATGTGTGTTTCAAGTACTAATATATAATTAAATTCACAAAGGAGTTGTCTCCTTTAATCATCCTTTCCATAGAGTAAGACCTTTTGTGTTGGTTAAGGCAGAGTGCTGGGTCTGTTTGTTTATTTGGTATAGAACATTTATTTTAATATTATTTATTTATTTAATTCATTTCTTTTGGGACATACTCAGGGGGCTGAGACCTGAGAATCATGGTTCAAAGCCAGCCTAGGCAGGAAATTCCATAACATTTCATCTCCAATTAACCACCAGAAAACTGGATATGGAGTTGTGGCTCAAACTGGTAGAATGTTAGCCTTGAGCAAAGAGCTTAGGAACAGTGCCCAGACCCTGAGTTTAAGCCCCATACCTGACAAACATTTCATATCTAGGGAAAGTTTGGGATTTGAGTGAGTTCATTAAGCCATCAATAGCAACCAGCATGCAATATTTCAGTTTGAAATATAGTAGCATTCACCATCAGTAATGTATTTCCTTGTCTACTGCTCCGATGGAGAATGTGAAGGTGAATATCTTACATGCCAGCGCCCTTCCTATTCATACGATTTAGATTCTCTATTCTTTCCAGTAAGAACAAATGTCACCGTTCATTGTGGGAAACATCTTGGAGCTTCTGTAGAAGTCATTTGATGGAGGAGTCAGAATTTCATCTCCAGGTGTGGCTGCAGGCCTAAATCCCACTATTTTCCTCTACTGACATCCATTGGGAAGTACCATCTATCAAACACTGGTAGAGCTGAGCTATTTGCAATCTCCCTTCTTTCTTAACTTCACAGACAACATTTTGTCTTCATTACTAGACAGCTTTCTGGAAGGCTCTTGCTGTCACTGTGTCTCGGTTTCTACAAATGTAGTTACTCAAGCATGAGCCCTAGCTGACAATGCCAGATCAAATGAATGCAAGATGGCAGGAATGTACTGCAGTTCACTGGACTTTAATCCTACTGTTCCTAGGTCTTGCCTCCTAGGTCCTGGCTTGTTGATATTCAGGCTTACTGCCATTTTTTTTTCTTTCATTACCACTGTATTGGAATCCACCAATCACCAAAATTCTATAGGTGTGACACATTTATGTATGCTTCCTACTCAGCTGCTTTGGAGAAATAGGGCTGTGTGGCTCCTGCTCTGTCGGGTCTTCCTCCGTCCTGCGGAAGACGGATGGGGTCCGAGGAAAGGTACTTGTGCAGCTCACCCAGTCCCCAGCCTCCCTTAGCTCCTGAGACAATCAGAGGCAGCAGGGAGTCAAGTCAAGCAGGAACTCATTTATTACCACACAGCAAGCACTTTTTTAAAGCAAAAGACCGTGTGGCTTGGAAGGGGAGGAAAAGGAACCAACCAATCACTGTAAAGGTCACACCCTATCCTGAACCTAAGCTTCCACGAGCTGTTGAACATAAACAAACCGGGGTCTGCTTACTCAACTCCCTCTTAGCGCCATCTTTGCTGCCCATGTGCCCTACACTGCTCCATCCCTGGCACTGTACCCAAGGCATTTATTCACTGGGCCCTGAATTAAGAATGAATAAATGCACTGGTGCTGTCATCCCAGCTACTCAGGAGGCTGAGCTCTGAGGATCACAGTTTATAGTGGTGGGCAAGAAAGTCGATGATACTTTTATCTCCAATGAGCCCCCAAAAGGCCAGAAGGTGAGCTGTGGCTCAGGCAGTAAAGCACCAGCTTTCAGAAAAGGAAAAAATATAAAATAGGTGTATGCATTTATTCACCTGGCGTTTCTCCCTGGAGAGGCTTCACCCAAAGGTGAATGCCTATCACCCTGGAGACTTCAGGCTGTTCCACAAGCTCCCAGGGGAAGAAACTGAACCCAAAGTTCTGGTTGGGAATTAACACATTTTACCAAGGAGACATCAGCTTAGTAACTTTCCATTGCTGTGATAAAACACCTAAGAGAAACCATGTAAAGGAGAAAATGTTTTTTGGTTTTTTTTTTTAGGGAATCTGTTCCCATAGACTGAGGCAGGACTGAAACCTCACGGTGGAACGAAGTGTTCAATTCATGGTAGTTTGGAAGGAGAAAGAAAGAAAGAGAGAGGGGGAGAAGAGAGAGAAAAGAGAGGGGGAGAGATGAGAGGGGAGAGAGATAGACAGAGGATAGAGATGAGAGAGACAGACAGAGATGAAAGAGAAAAGAGGGGCGAAGCTCATCACTGTGGTGGGCAGCTGGATCTCCTTGGGGATCAGCATAAATTGAAGAAATAAACATCGCTACTCACCTTTTGGGAAAACCAATAGGATCACACATGAGAGTAAAGTGTTGTGCTTCTGAAAATACAAATCTTAACCCTCCCGCTGACCTGAGTGAGGACTATAGCTCTACCAGTTTCTTTATATGAAAGGATCCCCTTCCCCAAAGGGAGACTTAAAGGATTAGTGTCTGAGCCTCTTCCTCATGGAGAACATGATCCCAGACACCCCAGCTCTGGAGAATCAGCCCAGACATGAATTCATCAAGTCCTGTTCATTCTACAATTCCATCATAGAGAATATAAGCTCTAAGACCTGGAGCAACTGTATTGATTTTCTTTCTTTCTTTTTTTTTTGCCAGTTATGGGGCTGGAACTCAGAACCTGACACTCTTGTTAGCTTGCTTGCTTACTCATACCTGGTACTCTATAACGTCTGCTATACTCCCAACTCAGACATTTGTTGGTTAGAGACAGTGTTTCACGGATTTTGTGCCTGGCTGGCTTCAAATTGCAATCTTCCAGGAATCAGCTTCTTGAGTAGGCAGGATTATGGGCATGAGCCACTGGTGCCCAGCTTTTTTTTTTTTGTCGTTATTTGAGCTTTCCTCAGAGACTCAATGCTCAGTGAAGGCCATAGAACCAGCTCAGATCTGCACAGAGTAAATGTCAGGAATGACAATGAATGTGGTAAGTAACTGGGGAAGTGAAGGAAGGAGTAGAAAGAAGGCCTTATCAGATAGGAATGAACATTGGAAGTAGCACTGTGGCCCAAAGTAGTGGAGTGCTAGTCATGAGCACAAAAGCTCAGGGATAGTGCCTAAGCTCTGAGTTCAAGCTCCACAACTGATAGAAAGAAAAAGCAATTTAAAAAATATATATAGAGAGAGCTGGGCTCCAGTGGTTCATGCCTGTAATCCTAGCTGAGATCTGAGGATCATGGTTTGAAGCCAACCCCAAAGAAAAGTCAGTGAGACTCTTATCTCCAACAAACTACCTAGAAAAAGCCAGAAGTGTTGCTGTTGCTGAAGTGGTAAGGTGCTAGCCTTGAGCACAAAGAGGCTCATGGACAGTGCAAGGCCCTGAGTTCAAGTGCCAGATCTGGCAAAAGAAAAACAAAACCAAAAACAACAGCAGCAAACAAAACATCTCCTATGCATAGTTAGACATTTCTCAGCCTTTCAACTCCAGACTTAAAAAACTCCGGGATTGAGATGTCCTGTCTCCTTACTTAGAAACTGTTATCATGAAATTTGTTTCCACCTTGGAAAATTTTCTTGTAATGTTCATTTTGAACTAATTTTCCTGGATAAACATCATCACATGGATATGTGTACTGATGTGATCAAATACAAAGTTGGAAAAAAAGGAAAAAAATGAAAAGAGGGAGAGATGAGAAGGCAGGAGAGAGACAGTGAGAGAGATGTAAGGAAAGAGAGGGAAAGAGATGAAGGAGAGGGACAGAGAGCAAAGAGCTTGAGGGAGAGATGAGAGTGAGAAAGAGCTAGAGATGCAAAGAGAGGAGAAGGAGAGAGAGGAGAGACAGACACACAGACAGAGCGAGACAGTACTGATGCAATGCTGCCCAGCGATGGTCTTCCCACACACAGGCCCCATCTCCTGGCCCCCATCCAGCTGAAACCTCACCACGGTGTTGGAGTCCTCTCGGTCAAGCCCCTCAGCAATCTATGATGAGAACTGAGCATTCAATGAGTCTTTAGGGGCAACCTCACATCCAATCTGAAATTGCTGGGTAAACCTGGTATTTCCTAGGCCAAATGATTCGATAGGGTGAGTATCAGTTTCTGCCAGAGGAAGAAGGGAAACAAGGAAGTATATATGTACCCAGATGAAAAGTTTTCTATTTCTTTTGTGTTTTAGGAACTTTGAGGCCTTATATGTCACCTGACCTTTCATTTCTCAGATTAAGTTGATGTAGCATATAGGTAATAAAGGTCATGAGCCAGTGTTATTCTTATACTAGTTGTGACATCTCTCCCATCAGGGACCTAGGGTCAGGGAGGGTCACAAGTAATGATTGCTCCTTGCAACCTAGCTCTTTTTGTTTGTTTAAGACTAGGATTCTATCTTAGTATCTGATGCTTTCACTCATTGGCTGGCACTCTATCACCTGAGCCACACCTCCAACCTCAGCTCCTGGGGTTTTCTCTCTACCCGTGGAAAACTTACCCATTCTTCAAAGAACAAACTGTGTCAGCAGAAAAGCTGCAACCATAAACACCTGTGGATGTTGTTTATTTGGGGGAAGTTTCAAGTATTTTGGAATAAGATCCACCTTGGAGATAAGAGCTTAGAGGAGTGAATGCCTGCACTTCATTTTCTAGCAAACAATTGTAACCTTCGGCCCTAATGATTGCATTGATTTACTGGTACATTTATCAAATGTGAAGCCAAAGTTCAAAGTAGCACATCCATGATTCCTTGTCCACTTCCAAAAGTGACACCTGTTGTACCCCACAGGTGTGGGCACAGATAAGTTTTCTACTGTCTGTGCCATCAGCCCTGCCTCCTCTCCCAGCCCATAAATTGCAGGAGCCTTAGCTCCCTCATCAGAGCTGGGCACTGAGGGGAGCTCAGCAGAGTCCACTCTGCAGTCAGCACAACCCAGAGCTGAAAGGAAAAATCAGAGGAGAGAATTACCAGACGAGAGTGACCATGGACTTGATCCTCAACTTTTCCCTAGAAACCTGGGTCCTCCTGGCTACCAGCCTGGTGCTCCTCTATCTGTGAGTAACTGTCTAGACTCTGCTTCTCCAACCACCCTCTAACCTAGGATTCAGAGTGAGGATTACTATGGTCTGTTATTGGGAAGATTTGAAGAGAAGAAGGAATGGGAAAGCTCAAGAGTCAAATTTAACCTACACCTTATGAGGTTATTATTTATCCTGTAGAGATCCAATGAGAGAGTTAATAAATATTCTTCTTTCATAGGACTCTCAAATTTCTGTGTGGAGGGGGAAGTTTACTGGCATTGTTTGGAAAGGATCTCAAAGTTGATGTTTGGGCCAGAAATAATGACTCAAATTCAACAGAAACAGTATTTGAACAAGTGATCACCCTTGAAGAGATCTCAGGATACTTGGGATAGACAGTCTTTATTGTTTGTTCATTTTGATGCTGGACCTGGGGGTTGAATTCAGGGCCTGGGCACTGTTCTTGAGCTTTTTTGCTTAAGGCTATCATTCTACCATGTGATCCACAGCTCCACTTCTGAATTTTTTGGTGGTTAATTGGAGAGAAGAGTCTTACAGCCAGGTACTGGTGGCTCATGCTTGAAATCCTAGCGACTCAGGAGCCTGAGATCTGAGGATTGAGGTTCAAAGGAAGCCTAGACAGGAAAGACTGAGACTTCAATTATCCAAAACTGGAAGTGGCACTGTGGCTTAAATGGGTAAAACATCAGACTTGAGCAAAAAGAGCTCAGGGACAGTCTCCAGTCCCTGAGATCAAGCCCCAAGTCCTCAAAAAAGAGTCTTATAGACTTTCCTGCCCAGGCTGGCTTCAAACCACAATCCTCAGATCTCAGTGTCCTGAGTAGCTAGGATTACAGTCGTGAACTACCAGATGTCCATCTACATATATAGCTTACAATTTGCCTTATAAGCACATTGTTTTACTTCATTTTCTGTTATTTTTGAACAAACATACATTAGTATGGGATTTTTATTATGATAATTTCATAGATTGGTATAATGAACTCTGAACGTATTTACTTCCTCCATCCTAGCCTCTCTATTCTCCTCCCTCTATCTTTTCAAACAATGTTTACTGCATTCATTGTGTTACCTTTACACACACACACAATCTAACATGTGTAACACATGTGTAACATCTTCCAGTGTTCTTCATTCCTCAGTATCCTTCCTTCCTTCCCCACTCCACAAATGCCCCCAGATAATCCTCCTTTTATTTATGTCCTATTATTATTGCTATCATTTTCATCTTCATCATCACCACCATCATCATCACCTTCATCATCATTATCATCATGATCATTTCACAGATGAGCAATAACATGCAATAGTTGGCTTTCATAATGTGATATATCTCACCCAATAGGATGCTTTCCCATTCTATTTTCTTCTAAATGACATAATTTCCACTTAGCACAGTAAGATTCCATAGTGTGTGTGCATATGATTATCTGTTCATTGTTATTGTGCACTTGGTTGATTCTACAGTTTGGCTATTGTCAATAGAGCTGGAATAAGTGTGCATAAACAGGAATCTCCCTTGTATATTGATATTCCTCACCAGCAGGCTATCTTACTCTTTCTGTGGAGATGAGAAGGAAGAAGGTAAGCCAATAATGAAAAACAACATCCAGGTAGGATTTAGGAGGATACAATGAATATTCCTCTCCTTTAAGGTCAGAGCTTCAAGCCCCACTTATGAAGCCTGGCTGTCCACATCAAATGACACATGGAAATGAAAGACTTGGAAAATTCTAGTTTGAATCTCACAAGATCACTCAAAACAAGGTTGTAGACTTTTCCAACTATCCACTGTAGGTTGGGGAGCCTAAAGACTCCAGCTACTTTTAGCTCATTTTTGTGATGTTTGGAGCTGTAAGAAAGGAAGTGAAGAACAAGGGTAATCATTGCCATTTGAGTTTCTTGTCATCATTTACTACATGTTGGCATCTCAATTTGACTGTCCTACTTCTTAAGTTAGTAACTGGCTACCCTTCATATGTGTACAGGATGTGTGTACATATGTGTGTGTATCTTTATGATCTGGATTTCTTTGAATATTTATAGATATGGGACCTATCCACATAGGGTTTTTAAGAAGTTGGGAATTCCTGGCCCGAAACCTCTGCCCTTTTTTGGAACTGTTCTTGGTTATCGTAAGGTGAGTGTTGTTTCAGCTCTACATTTTTCTTTTTCTGGTTGCAAACTCTGGTTTCTTTCCATTTATAAAGAAGTGCTGACTTTCAAAAGCTGTGTGTAAGCTCCCCTAGAGTATGGCCAGATGTACTGCAGGACTCTGTGTCCAGCTGTCCCAACTATCCACTGGGCATCAGCAGATCCACTTAAATTTCCAGCATCTTGTCACTCATGTTGAGAACTTGATAGTTAGACTTTGTGAACACCAAGGATTTTTCTTCCTAGCAGAGCCAGTTCCAGAAAGGGTCCCTCATAGCCCTTGGGACTTTTATTTGCACAGTTAACATACCACAATTGAGAATTCCCACCAGCAAGGTTTCTTTTTTCTTTCCTCTCCCTTTCTTTTGTCACCTTCAGAAGTAAAACCTCAGAGGAAATGTTTAAATTGTGGTGTATTATGGGTAGAGGTGGCATCACTCTTATCTTTTCTTATTGAGCAAGTTCACTTTACCTTCGCTTGCACTCTGACTTCTGCCAGAGTCTTACATTAATTTCCTATGCCAGAAGAGGTGACTTGAACATCCCACCTCCAGGGACCTCATTTGTAAACAAGAAACAAGTTGCATGAGGAGATGAAAGATAAAAGGTTGGACATGCTGGGGGCTGGAAATGTGGCTTCGTGGTAGAGTGCTTGCCTAGCATGCATGAAGCCCTAGGTTTGATTCCTCAGCACCACATAAACAGAAAAAAGCCAGAAGTGGTGCTGTGGCCAAGTGGTAGAGTGCAAGGCTTGAGCAGTAAGCTCAGGGAAAGTGGTTAGGCCCTGAGTTCAAGTCCCAGTACTGGCGAAAAATAATTGGACATATCAGCTGGGCACTGTGGCTCACATCTACAAGCTTAGCTACTAGAGAACCAAGGACCCGGGAAATGCAGTTTGAAGCCAGCCCAGCTCCCCACTCTCCCTCCTCCCCCCACCCCTGCCAAATCTTGTATGAAAGGCAAATTGAAGTGATATACTGTATGCACAAACTTGTTCTAGTACTTGATCAGAGAGAATGTACTTGGATGAGGTCGTAAACAAGTAATAGCTACCTTTATTTCTCTTCCCAGGGTGTTATGGTTTTTGATGTGGAATGTTATAAAAAATATGGAAAACTCTGGGGGTAAGTAATCTGGAAACTTCCGTGGGGTAAATTGGTGAAGATTAGACAATCTTGAGCCACACTGATGAATTGAGCCTCTTGAGCCACACTGATGAATTATGAATTCTAGTGGAGGCTTTTCCTTATGAAGATCTCACCTGTCACCAATATTTGTATATGTACATGTTGTGACAGTCCTGGAGCATGAGCTCAGGGCCTGGTCACTGTCCGTGAGATTTTTCACTCAAAGCTAGCACTTGTCCAGTTGAGCCACAGCTGGACTTCTGGCTTTTTTTTAGTGGTTAATTGGAGATAAGACTGTCATAGATTTTTCTGCTTTGAGCCATGTTCTTTAGATCTCGGCTTCCTGATTAGCTAGGATTATAATCATGAGCCACCAACACCCAGCCCTTCACAAGTTCTTTAAAGTGAGTAGAACGAAGTAGAGAAAAAAGATATTGTGCATAATTCTATGAAAAAGTCTTAGCTTAAAACTAAATGAGGAGAGTATGAGGGAAGTGGTATTTATTGTCTTTAGGTATCTCCTCTGTGCCTCAGCCACACTGGCCTTCATTTTGTGGACCACTGTGGCTTATGTCTTCAAACTCCCTAGGTTTGTATGAGGGACTATTATTGACATGTGTTGAGGAGCTTGAGGTGTGATCATGGTCTGGATTTCTTTGTCCTGGCTCCAGGTGCAGAGCCTGGCTGGTTAGGTTTTTCACTCAGCTGTGTTTGCCACACACAGGTTGTACAATGGTCGAAAGGCTATGTTGGTGATTACAGACCCAGACATGATCAAAACAGTGCTGGTGAAAGAATGCTATTCTACCTTCACAAACCGCTGGGTAGGCATCTCCTCCCACTCCCCCTTTTAAAACACATCTTAATATTTATAAAAATAGATATTCATCTCGTATATATCATGAAATAATTATAAGCTCTGGGGAAAGGGGGTGAAGAATGTTGAATGGACTGATATTGATGAAGTTACCTTGTGCTCCTGCTGGGTGCCAGTGGCTCATGCCTGTAATCCTAGCTACTAAGGAGGCTGAGACCTGAGGATCACAGTTTAAAGCCAGCCCGGGCAAGAAAGTCCATGAGGCCAATTAGCCACCAGAAAACCAGAAGCGGTGTTGTGGCTCAAGGGGTAGAGAGCTAACCTTGAGCTGAAGCGCTTACAGAGAGTGCCAGGTCCAGAGTCCAAGCCCCATGACTGAAAAAAAAAAGATACATTGTGCTCAAGAGTCAAGATGTTGGATTAAAACCTTTCTGTTGGGGCTGGGAAGGTGGCTCAGTGGTAGAGCGCTAGCCTTGAGCTGAAGAGCTGAGGGACAGCGCCCAGGCCCAGAGTTCAGGCCCCACGACCCAACCAAAAATAAATAAATAAATAAAACCCTTCTGTTTATAATGATAAATAAGATAATTAATACGTTAGATAATTAATATATAAGATAATTAGTAAATAAGTGGATGAATTGATAAAGTCGTATTTAGAATCTGAAGTCTTGGCCTCACATGACCTAGACATTTGGGAGAAATGTTTGTTGAGTTTCTTACAGAGGGCCGACTGCTCACATAGTTCTTTAAATGCTGCCAATTCACCAGTTTTGTACAACTGTGCAAGGTCTTCAAACTGATGGAGAAGAAAAAAATCTGGGTTTTTTTTGGAGCCTAGGTTTTTGGCCCAGTGGGATTTATGAACAAATCCCTCTCCTTCTCTGAGGATGAAGACTGGAAGAGACTAAGAACATTGCTTTCCCCCACCTTCAGCAGTGGGAAACTAAAGGAGGTAATCAAACCTGAGAACGTGGTGCTGGAAAATTCCAGAATGAGTAGGGGGATAAGCAAACAGTCAGATGAGAGTCCTTTTCCAAGAGGACATCCGCTAAGGCTGAACCACCTGGAAATGGTGTTCTGTCCATATGTCCTGCAGTCCCTGGTTTCTCATAAATGGGATGTCGTGTTTCATCTTTTGGGGCAAGTGGGAGGGAGTAATGGCCACTGGGATTTAAGTCTTCTCTTTTAATTTCTCTTGTTTTGTGCCTAGATGTTCCCCATCATCCGTGAGTTTTCTGATGGGTTGGTGAAAAACCTGAGACCACAAGCAGAGAAAGGCAAAGCTGTGGCATTGAGAGAGTGAGTACTTGCTGGGCACTGGTAGCTCACACCTGTAATCCTGGCTACTCAGGAGACTGAGATCTGAAGGTTGTGGTTCGATGCCAGCCCAGGCAGAAAAGTCTGTGAGACTCTTATCTCCGATAAACTATCATCAGAAAAGCCAGAAATGGAGCCGTGGCTAAGTGGTAGAGCTCAAGGCTTGAGTAAAAGAAGTTCAGGGACAGCATCCAGGCCCAACATTCAAGCTCTAGGACAGAAAGAGATTGACAATGAGAGAATGACAGAGAGAGAGAGAGAGAGAGAGAGAGGGAGGGAGAGAGAGAAGGAGACAGAAGGAGAGGGAGAGGGAGAGAAAGAGGGAGAGATAGGGAGAAGGAGAGAGAGAGAGGGAGAGAGAGAGAAGGAGACAGAAGGAGAGGGAGAGGGAGAGAAAGGGAGAGAGAGAGGGAGAGATAGGGAGAAGGAGAGAGAGAGAGAGGGAGAGAGAGAGAGAGCAACAGAAGGGAGAGGGAAGGAGGGAAACCATTACTCCACCAGTGACCTGCCCATGCCCCAATCTATTGTCTATTACAATCCATCACTATCTGCTACAATCTATTATCATCCCACATAGCATTTGTACTATGTGATTTGTCTGGTGGGGTGGGGGAGTCTGTTTTCTGAGACTGAGTTCCTTGAGCTCCCAGGTGAGGCTGATCCACCCAATTTTCCATAACCAGGGTTGTGGATCTTGGAGAAGAGGCAGGGGGATGGGCAGGGAAACTGGACCCTTCCAATGAGTCCTCAGGCAATTTTGACAGAGAACAGTTTGTGACTTTCTTGTCCTGACACAGGTATTTGCTCCCACTTTTTGCTGCTCATGTATCAGAAAGGAGGAGGGGGGGAAGAAATACAAGATTTAATTGTCCTGTGTCTTTTTCTACTTTAGCATCTTTGGAGCCTACAGCTTAGACGTGATCACGGGGACATCATTTGGGGTGAACATCGATTCTCTCAACAACCCAAAGGACATCTTTGTGGAAAAAGTGAATAAGATCCTAAAATTGGGTTTCTTTCATCCAGTGATTTTCTCAGTAGGTTCGTGAATCTCTCTCTGTGTCTGTCTCTCTCTGTCTCTCTGTCTTTCTCTGTCTCTCTCTCTCTCTCTCTTCCTTGTTAAAAAAGAACCACTTCCTTGATATGTAATTCATTCATACACGTAAGTATATCACTTAACCTGTATAACTCAATGACTTTTCCCACTACATTTAAAGGTATGTGTGGTCATTACCACTGGTAATTGCAGAACATTTTGTCATCAGAAACCCTGTACCAGGCTGGGAATGTGGCTTAGTGGTAGAGTGTTTGCCTAGCATGCATGAAGCCCTGGGTTCAATTCTTCAGTACCACATAAAGAGAAAAAGCCAGAGAGTGGCATTGTTTCTCAATGGTAGAGTGCTACCTTTGAGAAAAAAAATTCATGGACAGTGCTCAGCCCTGAGTTTGAGCCCCACGACTGGCAAAAAGAAACAAACCAAAAACCCTGTGCTCTGGTTGGGTGCCAGTGGCTCATGCCTATAATCCTAACTACTCTGAAGTCTGAGATCTGAGATTGTGGTTTGAGGCCAACCTGCGGAAGGAAAATCTGTGAGACTCTGATTTCCAAATGGAGCTATGGCTCAGTGGTGGGTCACCTGCCTTGAGAAAAAAAAAAAACAAGAGAGAGTGCCCGGGCCTTGAGTTCAAGCTTCACTAATGATTAAAGAAAGTGAGAGAGAGGAAGAAAGAAAGAAAGAGAGTGAGAGAGAGAGAGAGGGAGGAGGGAGGAACGGAGGGAGGAAGGAAGGAAGGAAGGAGAGAGAAGAGGAAAAAGGAGGAAGGGAGGAAGGAAGGAAGGAAGGAGAGAGAAGGGGAAGGAGGGAGGAAAAAGGAGGAAGGGAGGAAGGAAGGAAGGAAGGAAGAAAGGAAGGAATGAAGGAAGGAAGGGAGAAAAGAAAGGAAAGAAGGAACCCTATACCTTTTGTTTTTCTTTGGTCAGTCTTGGGGCTTGAACTCTGGGTCTGGGCACTGTCCCTCTGCTCTTCAGCTCAAGGCCAGTGCTTTACCACTTGAGCCACAATGCCATTTCCAGTTTTCTGGTGGTTTATTGGAGATAGGAGTCTCACGGAGCCGGGCGCTGGTAGCTCACGCCTGTAATCCTAGCTACTCAGGAAGTTGAGATCTGAGGATCTCGGTTCAAAGCCAGCCCGGGCAGGAAAGTCTGTGAGACTCCTATCCCCCCCCCAAAAAAAACACTAGAAAACTGGAAGTGGCACTATGGCTCAAGCAGTAGAGCGCTAGCCTTGAGCTGAGGGACAGCACCCAGGCCCAGATTTCAAGCCCATGACCGACAAAAAAAAAAAAAAAGAGTCTCATGGATTTTCCTGCCCAGGCTGGCTTTGAACTGTGATCCTCAGATCTCAGCCTCATGAGTTGCTGGGATCACAGGCGTGGGCCACCAGTGCCCGGCATGCTGTACCTTTATAGCTGTCTACTCTTCTACACCTCTCAGGCCTGAATGATCACTTACCTATTTTCTCACTGTCTGTTCTGGACACTGTCTATAAATGAGTCTGGCTTCTGTGTTATCCTTAAATTTTCATCCATCTTGAGGCATGTATTGGTATCTCTTTTTATGGCTGGATAAAATTCTGTGATGTAGACAGCACATTTTGTATTTTCACCATATGTTTATTTCTTCTTACTTTCCCCTGTAGTACTCTTTCCATTCCTTCTACCCGTTTTTGAGGCATTAAATATCAGCATGTTTCCAAAGGATGCTACAGATTTCCTAAGAGCTTCTGTAGAAAGGATGAAAGAAAGTCGCCTCAAAGACAAAGCAAAGGTAAAAGCTGCTGATGGTTACGTAACCTGTTCATGGTTC